GACGGTGGTTGCTTGGAGAGCGGATCTAACGGTGATGGCAATTGGCCGGTGCTGGGTATGGGGGATAGGGTCCAGGACTTCCATCTCAGTTCTGGATGCAATGTCACTGCTTACACAGGCGAGGTCTGGGTTGTACAGTATCCTCGTTTCCATCTGGCGCTGTGGAAGGATTTGGGTAGTTTAGCGTTATGGATTAGGGTCAGGTGCTTGGACTCAAGCCAGGTCTCAACTTCATCTCCATCTTGGTTGTTGTTCTCATAGCCCTGTGATGTACTGTGGGCATTGAAGTCGCCGATGCTGATATGGAATCTCCTCTTGCATCTTTCTGGTAGTTCTGTGTACAGAAAAGGGGTTGCGGATGGTTTGTAGACTGATGTGACAGAGACATTTGGGAGGGCAACTGTGATGGTTTCCATGTTTCCTTCCATAGTGTGGGTCCAGACTTCCTCAATCTTGAGGTTTGATCTGCTGAAAACAGCTGATCCATACTGTCTGTGTCGGGTCTCAGCGACCAGTTTCATTCCAGGGATGGTAGGTCGGTGTTGTGCAGGGCCGATGGTTTCCTGCATGCAGAGTATGTCAAAACGATTGGCCATCGTTGCCAGTATCTCTGCCTTGCATCCGGAGAAACCTTCGATGTTGATTGAGACGATTGACAGGTCGCATGTGATTTTACGGCCTTGCTTTCTCACCATCTCCTCAAATATCTCCTGAAGAGAGGATGGTGGAAATACGCCAATTATTTTTCCAGCCCTTTTTATCAAGCTCTGGAGTTGTGATTTAGATTTAACTGACAAGTTACCAAACCATGTTGTGATGCCATAACGAATAATAGACTCAATTGCTGCCCTGTAGAACATTAACATGATGCATTTATCCACTCCATGAACCCTGAGCCGACGCAGAAAATGCAGGCGCTGGCTTATCTTTGAGCATACCTGATCCACCTGATGGGCCCAGCCTAACTGAGCATCAAAATAAATCCCCAAATATGTAAAACGTGAAACCTGCTCAACTCCCTCCCTGTTGATAAGGACGGGGCTGTGATCACCTACTGACTTGGGGTCAAAGATCATTTCCTTTGTTTTTTTAACATTTAACACCAGGTTGTGCGCCTCACACCACTTCACGACCTCTTCAATCTCAAGTTTATAAATAGAAATGTCCGAGTCTCTAGTCAGACTAAGTATGGCTGTGTCATCAGAAAACGTTATGATGTGGTTGTGTGTGTGCTGACTCCTACACTCATTTGTGTAGAGTGTGAAGAGAAGAGGAGAGCTAACGCAGCCTTGTGGTGCCCCTGTGCTTATGACCGTGTGTCAGAGAGGGTCGAGTTTACTTTCACCTGCTGCTGTCTTTCAGTTAGGAAGGAGTGATACCATCTGATTAAGTAAGGATTCACATCCATCTGTTTGAGCTTTTTTAACATCATTTGGGGAAGAATAGTATTAAAAGCTGAGCTAAAGTCCATGAACATTAATCTAGCATAAGCTGAAGGATTTTCCAGGTGTTTTAGAATAAAGTGAGTTGTAGAGGTCAGAGCATCATCTGTACCTCTACCATCGCTGTACGCAAACTGGTAGGGGTCCAAGAGGTGTTGCACCTCAGTTCGCAAGTTCCCTACAATAATCCGTTCTAGTGACTTCATAACTATTGAGGTCAATGCCACTGGTCTGAAGTCGTTGTTGTCATGTGGGCATGTTTTTTTTGCAACTGGTATGATGACAGCTTTCTTCCATATTTGAGGGATGCTTCACGAGTCAGCAGAGAGCTCGAATAATTGACTCCAGGCAGGGGTGAGCTCGTCTGCAAACGTTTTCAGCAGGAGTGCCGAAATACCGTTTGGCCCACTGGCCTTCTTAGTATGCAGTTGTTTGAAAACCCTGGCCACAGCACTATCATCAATTATTATTTTTCTATTGTGTATTGGGTCACAGGTTAAAGAGGTTGACAAGTTTTTACATGCATCAATGTTAGAAGCAGAATTAATATCAAAACGTTTGTAGAAGTTGTTAAGTTAATTTGCTTTGTTAAGCTCATCCAGAACATGCATCTCCCTCTTGCCGGAGTTCAGATTTGTCATTTCTTTCACAGAGTCCCACAGTTCTTTCGAGTTCTTGGTTGAGAAAGCCTCTCGGACACTCAGACTATGTTGCTCTCGGGCTTCTTTAAGTTTCCCCTTTAGTTCTCTTTGAGCTGATCTCAGTTGTATTGCATCGTTCTTTTGAAAAGCGATATTTCTTCGTCGGATACACTGTTTAATATCCGATGAGATGTAGTCTTTATTGTTTGGATATATCCTAATGGTCTTTTTTGGCACAACAGTATCGACACAAAAATGAATGTAGTCGGTGATGGTCTCAGCGATGGTATCGGTGTCATTGTCCTGGTAGAATACTTCCCAATCCCAGCATCTTCATCAATTTGATTGCGTAGGTAAGTGTACAGAGATTGGCCTACTGACAGTATAAGATTATATCCTCTTGGATGTATATCTCATTAAGCCAGCGTTTCCCAGGCTGCACCACGGGGAGGTTTCTGTAAGTTGCAGCCCCTAAAACTATGAATTGTGTAAATTCGGTATTACATTCACAGTTGGCTTTAAACACTTGGCAATAAACCAGTTATTTCTGCATGATGTTATGCTGGAAATGAGTGAACTGAATGTGAAACACACTTTGTTACAGCATAACTGAAATTCAGAGGTTCTCAACTTGTTTGTATGAGAATGTCTGCACTACCAACCTCCGTGGGTAAAAGAAAATGTTTTTATATATTGCAATATGAAGCAATTTACTGTAGTCTGAAGTGATCAATGCACCACTGTTTTCAACTTTTCTGCAGCCTAGATCCTCCGAGGTTTGAAGTACATGTAAAGAAAGAATATCTGAGCAAAAATAATAACAATACTGCATTGTTATTGTTCAACATTTCAGATCTGTCCAAGAGAAAGCGACAGTAGTTTTTAACATTGTCCTTTAGCCATGCTAGTAGCATAGCTGGGTGGAAAGCAGTCGGTTTGTTGGTTAGTTGGTTAGTCACCTCCTTTTGTCCAGACTCAATTATCTCATCTATTGGATGGTTTGTCAATAAACCTTTGTTCAGACATCCCCTATTCTCTTGGGATTGTAGCGTGGTGACTTTGTGATGAGTTGTTAGGTAATTCCATGCCCCATAATCCTCTATTAGCGGACTTGATATTGTCTTCTGCTTGATAGAGGCATATTCCTTCAGAACAGCTGGCTCAGCAGTAGCAGTCTGTCCATATCACCTGCATACACACAGAGCTACAGCTGGCATGATACGGCCAATTATAACAACACAGCAGTTATGATATCAAAGATGCCATCAATTTCTAAAGTGACATCGAGAGACGCATGATCCGAGGCAATTACCAGTTTGTTCCGAGCCTCTGAGATTAAGGAGAGGAGGCACTATGAAGTAGATTGCACCATGACATGTCGAGTAGATCTGTATGTCAATAAATATGGACCTCCCTCTGTGAATAATGGGAGAGAATTTGTAGTTTTTGCTGTTCAGGGAATCCTAAAGGTTATCAACGAGCATTCATAACCGAGGCAATGGTTCAGTGTGTGTGTTTGTGTGAGTGCAGCACTGAAGAGGAGACGAGCCACTACTATCTGTTTGACATTTCTGTCAGTGCTGGTATTTAAACTGATGGGGAGCTCTGACAAATGCCATGGCTGTCACAGGCTCCATTTTAATTACACCTGACTGGGTCTTTCAGGGGCTTAGGGATGAACTTAATTAGCTAGCGAGCACTCGGGCTCGTTCTGCCGTTGGTTGGTACAACTCACAGCACTTCTTACTCCGTGGCTTTTCAATGGCATTTAAATTATCTCTGTCCATTGACTGAAGAATGAATAAATGAGGGGATGGCGAATGGGCTCGGGGGACGGCAGGAGTCTACTTTTCAATATCAACTTGTGTTTGGTCGCTGTATAAATGGAGCCACAGATTTAACGTTCAACCTTCGAATCACACTAAATGTCCTCTGGCATTATAACACTTTATAAACTGTATGTTAATAAAGTGGAGTGTCATTTGGAAGTGCTTTCATAGTGATACACAGCCTGAACAAAGGGGTTGGATGGAGTTCTTCACAGGCCAGTCTGAGAAAATATGAAAAGGAAAAAACAAGCAGTGAAAATAAATGCTCTGCAAAAAACATAGACATAATGCCTCAGGGTAACAAAGCACTATTTCCACCCAAAAGGAAACATGTATAGTAATGTCAGGAAGACTTGGTTCTTTTTTTATAATTGACCAGTCTCGTAAAATGGAACAAGTTTTCAGTTAAATTGAAACACAGAAGTACAGAACAGTCTTCAGGCACTAGTGTATCCGTGACAATCCAATCTCAGCTTTAGCACACTGACAACTTGAGATAATACAGAGAACCAGAGTATCCCAGTGCTCTCCCCTGCATATGACAGGGCCATAGCAATGATTAAGTGGTTGATCCATTTTAATGAACACAAAGCCGTCCAAGTGGAAGATGATTTTAATTGAAATCCCCTTCTGTTTAATCACTTAACATATTCACAGCAGAGTGAAAAAAAGTCACTCTTAAGGAGATATCTGAGGTGAACATGTGTTCATCCAACAAGTAATTCATTTTTACATCACCGGACTGCTCTATACCCCAGGGCGACTTGATGTAGTTTTTGTAGTTTGTACTGTTAACTTTTGTGATATGACACAATTTAGCAACACCTCCAGTATAGAAGACTAGAAGAAGAGCACAGATTGTTGCCGTTGTTCACGTTCACACTGTTCACACCAACCACTTGTTTGTTAAACAACAAAGCAACATCATTTAATTATCAAGTTTGTGTGCTAAATCTTTGGAGAGTTCAGTGCTCATGGACCTGACAGCAGCTTCAGTGCAACGGCAGATTTGGTTCTTCCTCAAACTTCTGAATAAAAATAAATATGATCCAGTGCGATGATATACCAAAAAACAATAATTTATTATCATTTATTTTCCAAAGATCACCATTATCACACATTTTACCCGGCTACAAATGTGCCAACTAAGCATTACTTGAAATCAGACCATTGACATTGACTTAAAACAAGTACAAGGTTCAGTTTAAAATTTCAAATGTACAATATTTCAGTTAAAAATGAGGCATTTCGAATGAGGATACTGTACATGTAACTGGATAAAGTCGGTTGATAAATGGCAACGCATTCATCTAACCAGTTTAGTTTTTTGAAATGAACTTAATATGCTGTGTTCTGAGTCCTGCTCAGTGGCAATAATCCTAACACATGTTTAATGTGAACTCAAACATAAGTAACGACTACATTTTATTTTCCAGGAACTAAAAACTGAATTATACATGTATTTATAAGGCTGAGTGCACAGAGATATCCAGAGACTGTTTGTGTATGAAATCAGTTTGCAACACAAACTTACCATTTTGCTGTTAAGGCTGAGTAAAGGTGTATATTGATGATGCAAAAAACGGTACGTATAGCGATGAGCAGGTCCATCTGTAGTTGAATAGGTAGGAAATTAAATATTTGCCAAATAAAACATTTAATACAAATTATTTTTACCCAAAGTTGCCAAACATAAAAACAAAGCTGGCAATTCGTTTGAATATTTTGGACTATGTATTTGTTACCTTGCACTAAAGCCAATCTTCAGTTCAATATACATAGTGCATATTCATGGTGTCCACAAAGTATTTTTTCATTGACCCGTCAGTGTAGCACTGTTCATATGAAGAGTTTCACTTTAAAATGAGGTATTTCACTTTTAAATGCTTTCATGAAATTGCTGATAATACAAATATCAGCAGAAGTTATTTGAGTTTTTGGCTCAAGACACTTTTGCTTGTATTAAGAATTTACACTGTTGAATATTCTGAAACTTTGAGGATTCATCCGACAAAAGAGCTATGGCAATTAGCGGTGAAACACTGGATACTTTCCCTTTTAGGTCATTGGATTTATCTCAAATTCATAACATTTTAGGTATTAAACACATTCTTGCCGCAGTTATGCTCAATCTTTCATCATGAAAACGATATACAGTACTAGGATTGGAATGTAAGATATTTATGTCCTTTTAAAGCTGAAACCTGTACCTCATTTAAACTTTTATTTTGTAAAATGTACTTAGGCTATCATCATTTGCCGATATATCTGTGCTTGAGTGTTAGACTGCTAGATTTCCAATCAATGTTTAAGATCCAGTAGTCTGAAACATAATTCCTCTTAACAAAACTAAGAGAGAAACATATTTCAGCTTTAAAGGATAAGTAGATCTGTTAATGAAAGATAAAAGTAAAAAGCACGAGACCCACTGACTCACTTTGTGTTGCAATTAGCAAGTTAACATAATAGATAAAAGAAAACAATAAACTTCTCTTAATATGACATTCAACCATTTTGAGTATATGGTTACGTAACATAAATATGAAAATAGAATTGAAAAGATAAAAATGTTTATAAGTAATAAAATAATTATATAGTCGTCATTTCATAGAAAATGTTTTCCCCGCATAGTGATGTGAAAAACAATATTGAAAAAACATGAAGAAAATGCCATGACAACACTGATAAATTCTTTACAAAATGCTTTTTGGGTTACAAAGTGTGAAAAATATTCCTATTGTCCTCATAAAAACGCCACATTGAACGAGGCAAGTATATTATACCGCAAGGGGTAGAATGTGAGTGTCAGTTTTATACAGTAGTGACTGATAGGAAGGCGTTGTGCACCTTAGCCCCCCCCTCAGGGGCCTTGGTACCGTGAGTCATCAGCTCCTGGATGGTCATCCAGTTGTCCAGGATCTTCTTGTTGCGTTTCTTCAGCATCTTCTTATGGCTGAGCTCAATAATGCTGACCTCCTTGCGCCCCTCGCTGCTGCTCTGAGGGTTCTCCTTTAAACTTTCCAGCCGGCTGCGCTGCATGAACTCTCGTCTCTGCCTCTGTTCTTTTGCTCTGACCAGATGCTGCTTTCGTTCTTCTTTACTCCAGTACTTCCCCATCTTCATTTCACTCATTGCATCATCATCGGTGGTCATTCCCCCGCTGCGCTCCTCTTTAATCTTCAGGGCTCGCTCCCTCAGGATCTTGTCTCTCACAGGCCTCTTGGTGATGTAGCGTGTGCCGTCGCTGCGGATCTTGACCTTCCACTCCATCTTGTTCTCATTATTGGGCATCTGAGGCTCTTTGCAGACGCTGAGCAGGCTGAGCTGGCTCTCAGCGTATTCAACAGCTGAGTGCTGCTGGATCAGCTGCATGTAGCTCTGGTAGTGGCGCGCATGTGCGGGGATGTTGACCTGCCTCTGCTGGGAACTGTGGGATGGAGAGAAGTATGGAATCTGGGAAGCAAGTGACTTTACTTTCCCACTGCTCTCCTCCTCAGCCTGAGAAGTCTGGTTGGACTTCGAATGATTGCTGTGGTCAGGGCTGCTACTTTTCCCTGGGACTGCAGCACTGTATGCTGGGATGGGGCTCGGGCTGAGAGAAGGGCCACTGGCAAGTCCACTGCGGAGGTTCCTCTGGTTAGTGAGGCTGACCATCCTCTGTAGTGAGTGCTCCGGGGAGCGGTCCATTGCCAGAGGGGTGCTTCGTGAACTTTCCGCCGTGTTATAGGCACTGGAGCTGTCCTTGTCCGATTTTTCCAGCCTCCCGTTAATGTCAATAAGTTTACCCCTGGACGGGTCACTACGATTGAGGCTTTGGTTTTTAGTGGAGGGGGCCGAGTGTCCTGTGGAGGGAGACTGCTGGCCCTTACGAAGGTTGTGCGCCTGCATGATGTTCTGACACTCTAGTTCGATGCTGCGCAGCTCGTCGTTGAGCATCCGCAGCTCGTGCTGCACACCGCCCTGCTCCCCGATGCTGCACTCGATGGTGCTGCGCCGGCTGTAGAACAGGTCGTACTCACCGCTGTTACGGATCTGACACTTTAGCTCCAAGAGCTGCTGGAAACGATCCCCCTCCGACTCATCATCGTCCTCATCGTCTTTGTCCTCCAGCCGTGTGGAGCCGGTGCTACGGTGTGTGTCCCGATTGTCTCTCAGGCACTGGGACAAACGTTTCTGGATGTGTGCCAGGACATTATGCTCCGAGCTTTCCATTCTGTCCTTTATACTTAGTACGTTATCTTTATGATGGGAGAGTGTTGAGCAGGTGGGCTTGTCATCTTCTGCTCTCATCTGAAAGAATAAGAGAAACAAGAGCAGCCTGTAAAACATGTTTATAGATATACGGCACTTATAAAACATGCAGCACTATGATAGTCTTCTTTCTTTTAATGATCCACATAAGGATTTGTATTATCATATTTAACTTTTGCAAAGCCTGTTTTGGGTATAAGGATGTTTTCAAAAATATTTGCAAGTATGCTTCAAGTGATCAAACGTATCGTATATGTCGTAATGAACTTAGAATGGTACTATGGTATTTACCAATAGTTTCATGTTTGACTTCCTTTGTATGGAATTAGGACACAAAAACAACAACATCAACAAAAACAGCAAGATTGAAGAGTTCACGAAGAACAACCCTATTCTGTATTCTCCTGAAGGATTACATGTGCTGTTGTGTGAAACTCTGTTGTACAGCTCTGTTTCTTTAGGGATTGTTTCCTCTCTGCCTCGTCTTTGAAGTTGTATTCATATGGATTTTTGTAGTGTGCTATTCTCTCAACAAAACAGAATTTTAAAGTATGATTAACGAATGTTTGGAATTTAAATGTTTCAATGGTCCCCTTGCATAAATATTCATAATCATTATTTTATTAATATTTCAAAAAGGGCAAAGCCTGTTTTGCAAAGAAAGTCAATGAAGAGTTTGATTTCCTCTCTGCCATCCGCTGTAGTATATCTGTAGTCAATTCAATTAACAAGTTGATATGGATTGTGAATAATGACCTAATACAGTCAAAGCAATTACTGGCCCGTCTAACAATTTCAATCAAAGGAAGGTTGCATCAAATTATTTAGATTTCTTTCAGCTTTTAAGGCTTTATTCCTATTGAACGGAGCAAAAAAGCTTTCTGAAATGTCTTAAACCAAGACAGAAAAAGCTTTGTTATAGACTCGCTAATCCAGTTACAGCAAATGTTTTGCCGCTGTCTGACCTGCTCATTCTCCTGCTCCTCCTGTAAGGCAGCCAATTCCATCTCCTCCCTCTGCTGCTCCTCCAACATTTCCATCTTCAGCTGCTCCAGGAACTCACTGTGCTCATCATCCAGCCAGGCCTCCTCCAGCTAAGGGTGAATGAAAAAGGAAAACATATGGAGAGAGAGTGAGACAGGGGCGAGTGTTATTTGTCAAGGCCTAACGCTTGTGGCGAAACGGTGCCTCAAAACAAATAGTGGGGCGTTCCAAATGGATGCCCAAATAGGATTTTCTGAAGAGAAAAAAAAAACAGGCATGGTTTTGAAATAAGAAGCCACAAGCATTAATATGGTATGGTGTTTGACTGATATATAGGTCCCTATTTCATAAGCAACAAAAGGCATCCCCTCATCTTTAAAACATGTAGTGTAATCTTAAAATCAAGCCAATACAATTTAATAGACATAAGACTGCCACCTTTGACCTATTTGCTCCACACCATCCATCATCTGTTTGTCTGCTTGATGTGAACCAAATGGGATCCATATCTGAAGACTTGAGATTTACTACTGAGAGACACATTTAATTACAAAGAGTCTACTATTGCTGCTGGCTCATCTGCACTGCAGCAGAGTCCTTTCACTTATTCGCCATCGGCCTTGGGCCTGAACTCACTCCACATTAGCATGCCATTAGCTTTTATGGCTTACCGTTGGAAGTCAATTACAGTGGCGCTACATAAAAATAAAATATGATGAGGTGTCTCAGAGGTGGCTTCCACTAAGAGGGGTTCTGTCGGCGGGGAGGGTTGGCTACCCTGGACTGCTAAGGTTTACTCTGAGCAAATATACTTTAATGGAAAAGACCAACCTTCAGGGCTCTCTGGATTGCATGCTTCCTTTACTCATGTTCGGCCCACAATAAGTGTTTAAGTCAGAGGCTAAAAGTATGTCAGTGTGATGTTACCCCTTAACTTGAGTCATTTCTCACCTGCAATTCAGGTCTGGCAACCAGCAGTATGATGTTCCTACTACCGTCATTGGCGAGGGCAGCCATTGCTTCCTCTCTGTCTTGTACATCTTGGCCATTAATCTGAACATGTCGACAAATACAATATGCAAAGTCACAATAAAGTCACACAAGACAAATATTTAAGTATTTTAACACAGGCACAAACATCCAATACAGAAGCTCCTATTAATAACAAAGTACCACAATAAAAGTGGCAATGCACATAATGCCCTTTTCCCCCAGGAAAGTTGTAAACACCCTCTGATGCTCTCTAATACGGCGCAGGACACAGCAGTGATTATGAATGGGACAGTGGCCGGGGGCGGACAGAGCTGTTGTGTTCACCAAAGTATCCGGCAGCGCACATGCATCTAGCCGTACAATTAACTGGCCACTGACAGGGGGCGTCCATCTTTTTGCAGGCAGAGTAATGGCCCTGTCACTGGTGGATAATAGTGCCACAGTGCTGGTCTGCCACACACACACACACACACACACACACACACACACACACACACACACACACACACACACACACACACACACACACACACACACACCACACACACACACACACACACACACACACACACACACACACACACACACACACACACACACACACACACACACACACACACACACACACACACACACACACACACACACACACACACACACACACACACACACACACACACACACACACACACACACACACACACACACACACCCCTCCTGGCTCAAATCAGTCACACAAAGGGTAGACACCAGTATACTATTAGTATTGAACAGTGCTTAATAATCACCTGCGCAGAATAACCCCTTAACTTTAGTACTTTATCATAATGTTCTATTTTACTAAAATAAGTTGGATTCGGCAGGTCAGAATTAAAATAAGTAAGACGAGTAAATTGTATTTTGTGCATCTCTAGTTCCTTATCTTCTGTATTATTAACTATAAACAAGCAGTACATAATTCCATAGCATGGCCAACTCTTACAAACATTTAATATGAGATCATGTGAATTACACTTAACACTTAAACCATCTTTTGATCATGCATTTGGTTGAATGGGGCAGCGTTTTTTTTATTGCATTCAATAACATATGGATGTCAATCAGAATGTTACAGCAGGAGCAGCGAACTGTTCGCATAACAATTATCTAATAAACCTGGGAAGTTAGTGAAAAGTGCTGGTGAAGATACTAAGCATCTTGCAAACTAAACAGCCTTATGTTTCCCTCAGGAGTAGCAGGTGACCCAAACAGAGCACAAAATGCAGTAAACATACTTTTATTTTCATCTGGAGGCTTAATGCACAGCAGGCAAATCCTAATGTTGTTCTTAATTTATTAATAGGCAATTGTTTGCCTTAACAATAATAATATGCTTGACATTACAATTAGAGGCTATTACTTGTTTAAACAAAAACAATAATTACCGCCCTCACCCACAGAGGAAACACTATAGAGCCTCAGCCCCTAACTACTGCTGCTGCTGGTTTGTAGCACAGATCCTCATGATCTCAGGCCTGGAGATGAAGCTAGGGGCTAATAACAGTCATAGCCTCTCAGCTGTCCCACAGGAGGCAGTGAGCTGCAGCACAGCGCCATCCTGAACCAGAACTCTTAAAAACCCCTGTTGGTGCTGAGTCTGTAACTAAAACAGCCATGGGGGCTATTCTCCCCCTAACAGTCACAGCGGGGGCATGTTCCCCCTTTAATGTGCTGCCATTAAAATGAATGGGCTCTCGTGCTGGGAGACAGTGGTTGAGTCGGACAAAATAAAAGCAGCTTTTTATGTTAAATGTAATGAAAGCTGGTGTAGAGGGGGCCATGAGAGAGTGGGTCCTACTGTACCTGTAAAATGCGGTCGCCCTCTCTGATGCGTCCATCTCTGGCGGCAATGCTGTTTGGACAGATCTGTGAAGGTAAAGGGAACAAAATAATGGACTTTCAATCTTCATGCAAGAGTATCAGAGTGCCTGGCGATGTTTTAACTCATTATATAGACATCACCCAGATACTAGACATGTCTAGACTGTTGTTAGTAATGTGAGCAACACACAATAGGTGTGCTGGCGTGGGAAGACCTTGGATGTCAAATGCCTTTCCTGCAGCTGCCTGGTCAGTTTCCAAAGCCATTTTCCCCCTGAGCATCACCTTTATCATTTAAGTACTCTATAGCGCCCGCCTTAGTTGTTATATTCTGGCAGGTTTACATAGCACCAGCCTGTTACTCTGCCCCGATACATGATGCACCTGCTCCTCCTGTAACTAACGCCAGTAAACAAGGGGGCAGGACACTTTCAGCGGCCAATCAATCGGTGTCTGGGGCCATTTCTTTCACTCTCTGCAACAGGCAGGATTTCTGGAGCTGGTAAGATGCTGTGATACTCTATCTTCATGATAGTCCACTCTTACACAGAGGAAGACTCATTAAACTGGGAGGAAGGTCACTAAACAGGAATACAAGGAACGGGGGAAATTGAAGGTAATCTTTCTGTACCTAAACCCTGAGTGACCTACAAGTGGAAACTGAGTTATAGGAAAATAGAGGAATCTATTAACTGTTGAAGATATCATCGTGGGTGGTGAATTGGCTTTGGTTACATGTATGGAACACAAAAAGAAGGTCTAGAGATTGACTCTTTATGGTCGTTTTCTGACTGAGTTTAAAACAATGGCAAGGAAGACACTTTTTATCTGAAGTAAATATTACAATCTTTGAATGTTAGTGTCAATGAGTGTAGCTTGGCTATATGCTGGTGTCCTATCCAGGCAGGCCTTTTGATCTATGCATGCTGGTATTAAGTCCAGACCGTGAATGGAGTTAAACCGGTAAAGAACATGTATACACCTTAGGAAATGAAGCTTTTTTTGCACTTGTTCGTCTAAATTATTTAACCACTGAGGCACGATAAAAACAAAGGGAAATAAAAGTATCTTAGGAATCAGAATTAAAGACAATGTTGCCTTTCATCAAGTGCTTCAAAGATGGGAAATCAAGCTTGTTATAAAGTGACCTTGCATTGTACTTGACTCCATGTTGATGTGTTCTCAGTTCTTACGCAAGATCAGAGTAATACTTTCTCTAACACATCCTGTATACAGTGACATTCAGCCACCTTATCTAAATGCAGCACACACTTTACTGTAAGCCCTACTTTTTTACAGAAAGAACACCTAAGGAAGCTGCCAAGAGCCACGGACCAGTGATTTATATTCTGCTCAGCTCTCATAGCAAACACCTTGCAGGGTCCGAGTCAACTTCAAACGAATGGGGAGAAAGTTGAGCAGAATAGAGAGCTGTATTTCATATTCTACTAACAAGAGATAAATGCATGCAGGAGTAGTTTTGGTATTATGCATCTCACAGCTTTACAACTATGACGAGACCTGAGTGTTTTTTGTTGTTGTTTTTCCTCAATTTATATTTAACCGGCAGTGTCTTCATGCTGTTCAATAATGTCATGTGTGGTTGATTAAAGAGTTCAATTTTAAAATAGCTTTACTTCATAGAGAAACCTGCTTCACTCACATGAATACTAAATGAAATCATACATTGGGAGATGAATATTAAATGTCACAAATGATTTAGTCTTGGAAATTGAGCTTTTTCAGTTGTTTAGGCATTTTACTAAGGCACTGTGATCTAGCCATGATAATAAAAGAGAGTATATGTAAATGTGAGACTTCAAAGAAATGAAATAAAGATATGCATATAACTGTAGAATATGCATATACCTTTTGCCCTGAGAGTATTCTTATTTTAATTTTTCAAAAAGCTAGGCTGGTTGGCAATAGAAATCTTGCAGGAGGCAGATATATTTCTGTTACAGTATCTCCAGGAGCAAAGCAGAGTCGAGAAAGATAAAAGAGGTATGATTCAGTGTTATTTGAGAATGAAAACTTTGTATGTGAAAAGTTGGGGCTTCCTCACGGCAACCGAAGTTGGAGGATGCAGCGATTACGGTTTGAATATACATGTGGCATGTATGAGTCCAGGAAGGACAGCAAGCAGCAAAGGTAAGGGGTGTGATGCATTTTTTATAAGAAAACAAAACAAGAGACACATTGCAAAAACAGAATCCAGCACAATAATAGTTTTGTCTCAATTATCTTGTTTTAATAAGTTCAAGGAAGCCAAAACGTCTTTGAAAATATAATAAAATGAATTAGCCAGCCCTACTTTCAACACAATTCATTCATGTCTATTAACCTGAAGAGGAAGGTTTCTACTCACCTCACTGACATAGATGGCCACATCATCCTCTTCATCTGTTCTGTAGCAAAGAGTTAGCCCCAACTTCTCTTGGCTGTTGAGTCGACACAATTCCACTTCCTAAGCAGACAAGAGGGAAAATACAGAACAATGTAAAACATTTACAAAAACTGGCATAGCGCTGCTTTAAGCTAAATGCTATTGCCTCCATGCTAACAATGACGGTGGTAACATGCTGGTGTTTAGTGGCTTTAAACTTTACATTACACAGCAAACATCTTAGTTTAGTGTGTGAGCATGCTAACATTGGCTTATTTGCTAAATGAAGTACAGTTGAGTTTAAGCTGTAGGTGGTGTCATTACTTCAAGAAGATAATAATGTCCCAACCAACTTTTATAGCAACCTATTTAATAGTTGTCGAGACATCTCAGTTTGAGCAAGAGGTACACAAACAGACAGATGGACATCGCCATGCCTAGCACAAAGTCAAGTTTTCAACCTTGGAATCAGCAGTTGATAAAAAAATCTCACCACAAGATCCATTTATTACATCAGACAATTATCTTCGTGTGTCCAGTGAAATCTTCGGTCAAATTTAAATTCTTCTGAACACTTCAACGATTTCTCTTTCATAGTGGCTTGAAGCTCTAAGAATATGAATTCACAAAAATTCTATTAAGTTGTTTGAGTGAAAACTCCAAAATATCTACGAAACCAACCTTGTGGTGTTATTGTTTTGCAGACCTAAAGGACCATTTAATGAGGAAGGAGAAACTGATTTGAAACTCCAAATATATTCTGTACACTTTCAATACAATTCAAATATTTATGCAAAACAATGGCTACTTGTAGACTAAGTTCCTGCTCTGCTGCACATCAAATAACAATGTTTTTCAGGTTCCAGCACAACATCTGACTTGTTTTTTAGATGATTATTGAGTCTGCATTTCAAACTCTTGTCTGAGGGTTCTGAGTCTGAAAGTGTTTGATCATGAAAGACATTCTCAGCTCGCAGAGTTTGATCGGTGGGGGCTTTGATAAATGCCAGAGGACCTCAAGTGTTTTCCTTTCAAGCCTTAGCCAAGTTATAAATTATTAGACTATAAATAAACTATAATTATGCTAATGCTACCAGATATACATGTTTGCTGCAGCACTGAAGTATTCCTCATCTTCCCTTGGGGAGATATCAACAAACTATTGACTTACAAATCAGTGGTCGCCATATTTCCCACGAGCCTCTTGGAACAGAGCAAAGTACCCTGGCATCAACATGAATTCCTCATTTAAGTTCATTAATACAAACAAACAGAACGCGGGAATTGAAGTATGTCTAGAACTTGAGTGAGTGGCAGTTCGCATTATATACCTAAATAATGCTGCAATCCGAAAGCAAAGACAACTTTGAATCTCTCCCAATCTTTGAGACAGTTAATTCACAAACACCACGATACACACTGGGTTTACCACAACAGAGGTGCATCCAAACAGCCAAACAGTACAGGACTACGCTCCATCTCTAAATGCTGAAACATATCAAGGGCGTTGGAGGAATTCAAGTGTGAAATGGCCTCTCCTCCCAAAGTCTTCATTAGAGCAGAAACGCACCAAATCTCAGCAGCAGGAGCGAGGTGGTTGAGTGGAGAGGAGGATGTAGGCGGTGGTGAGGGCTCTAGTGGGGCTCATATGGGCCTCACAGAGAGATTCATTTCCTCTGTGACAACTGTGGGTTGGCTGGTTACATGTGTCAGATGTGGTAGGGCTTTGGGAATGGCACGAGGGGGGGGGGGGGGGGGTTGAGGCCTGACCACGGTGAGATGAGATGAGGGGAAGCTGGGGAAAAGGCCAATACAGCTGCCAGAGAGCCGCCACCTGCTGCCTCTGGCTACCCCTCCTAAGCTGTTTATGACCCCCCATTTCCTCACATACACACAAACACATCTTTAGGCTCAATTCCCATTTTTTTTACCTCTTTTACCTCTGCTAACGTCACATATTGACAGATCATTGAGCTGTTTTCGGACCAGAAAGCTGTGGCTGAACTTGGAGTTTCAGGCTCTGCACTTTCCCTCCTCACCTCATACCTCAAAGACCACACCTACAGGGTAACTTGGAGAGGGTCCGAGTCTGACCCTTGTCAAATAACTATAGGGGTCCCTCAGGGCTCTGTCCTTGGTCCCCTCCTCTTCTCTCTGTACACAAACTCACTCGGATCAGTCATTAGCCCGCATGGTTTTTCATACCACTGCTACGCTGTCAACACCCAATTAATTCTGTCTTTTCCCCGTTCAGAAACCCAGGTCGTCGCACGCATCTCTGCTTGTCTAGCAGACATCTCTCGGTGGATGTCTGCTCACCACCTCAAGCTCAACCTTGAGAAGACTGAACTGCTTTTTCTTCCTGGAAAAGATTGTCCCACTCTTGACCTAACAATCAACATCGGCCCCTCTGTTGTTTCCCCGACTCAGGCTGCAAGGAATCTGGGTGTGATCCTAGATAACAACCTGTCCTTCACTGCAAACATCGCTGCTACAACCCGCTGCTGCAGATACACGCTTTACAACATCAGGAGGATACGTCCCCTCCTGACCCAGAAAGCGACGGAACTTCTGGCCCAGGCTCTCGTCATCTCACGCCTAGACTACTGCAACTCCCTCCTGGCTGGTCTACCTGCATGTGCCATCCGACCTCTGCAGCTCATCCAGAATGCAGCGGCTCGTCTGGTCTTCAACCTTCCAACATTTTCCCACACCACGCCGCTCCTCCGCTCCCTCCACTGGTTTCCAGTAACTGCTAGAATCCACTTCAAGACACTGGTACTTCCATACCATACTGTGAATGGATCTGGCCCTTCCTACATCCAGGACATGGTTAAACCGTACACCCCGGCACGTGCACTCCGCTCTGCATCAACCAAACAGCTCGCTGCACCCTCGCTGCGAGGGGGACCCAAGTTCCCATCAGCAGAAACACGTGGGTTTGCTATCCTGGCTCCAAAATGGTGGAATTAGCTCCCATTGACATCAGGACAGCAGAAAGCCTACACACCTTCCGGCGCAAACTGAAAACTCATCTCTTTCGACTCCATTTCGAGCGATATAATTACTAACAAAGCACTTATATACTAATAAAAGACTGGCTTATCTAAAGCCAGTTGAGTAGCACTTGAAATGTTTTTGCTCTATGAAATCTGATGTACTTATATGATTCTGTTTTCTTCAAGTTTGTATCTTCCTCGTCGAATGCACTTATTGTAAGTCGCTTTGGATAAAAGCATCAGCTAAATGCAATGTAATGTAATGGGCTATGCACAACCCAAACAAAAATTCCTTATGCTAACACACATGTTCATTTTAACAAAGCACACACATTTGCACAGGCGGAGAGAAAAAGAGCTGAAGAAAAACAATGTCATCTGAGGTTTGTGCCGTTTTATCTTTCTCGACAGCCTCCACCTGACGGGGAGCTCAGATCTTTAATTGACTGTCTCAGAAGCGATGACAACTTGAAATCCCGTCTAATACATAAGGATATAGCCTGAAAGAGTGAAGAAGCTTTGGTGCTGAATACCTGAACAAAGTGAGCTGCTAAAATCAGTCAGTAGCTATATTAAGAATATTACTAATAAGCCACCTCCATTTGTTTGAGAAGATATGATTAAGGCGGCAGCATCTGATGCAACAAAGCAGTCATGGAGGTAATGACAGTTACGGAGGTGGCACACATCTTGCATGCTCACATGAGAAGTTGTGGTATATCTGTGGGAAATATTAAGATCACTAGCAATGTCCCGGAGTCATCTGTCTAAAAATAAGCCACACAAATGAATTGCTGAGACTGAGGCAAAGCAGAGGTGTGAGCAGGTACTGCATCATCCAGTATATTATATAGCTGTGTGCAACAAGCCTCAAGTTACTTCTGACTAATTGATGGTTAGATAAAGTGCAGGGGAACTACGGCTAAATGATCAGAGAAAATAGATTGCTACAATTACTGCATGTTGGATGAAACTGGGCAGCTGTATGTGTGGGAGTTGATCTATGTGCAGCAAACATATTTGACCCTTATTCTCTAAAACATGTTCTGTTTCTTTCTTGTTTTAAGATAATATTGTGTACAGAAACACCCACACACACACTTAGATGGCTCAGCAAAGAGGGGTTGTCTCAGGATCCATCAAATGTGCATTCACCAATCTCTGTCTCTCCTCTTGCCTTTTGATTTTTTTTATTTCATTTTCCACGCGAGCTCTCTGCCTCTGAGGCAGGAGATTGCAGCATGGCACAGGGACGAGGGCTGACAGTAAATTAATGACTGCCATGGCGTGATTAGGGCAAGATTGCCGCCCACCATCAAAGCACAGTGGATGCTGTCATAATAATCGTGGCTTTGATTACCAGTAATTGAAAAAGCAGTCACAAATGCATGGATGGCCACCACTGGCAGGAAGAGAGGGAAGAAAATCTCTGAGCTTGGAGTACTTTTTCACAACCTACCGAAACTAATCAAAGGAATGGTTACTAACATGGTGTTTTGAATGAATAGACATCAAGGGATCCGAGAAAAATGTATGTTTCTGTGTGAAATTCTAGCTTTAAGGCATTTCCTGTGTGTTTCGATAATCTAAACGTTGCCAACCATCGGAGAAGATGGAGACATTTTAGGTATCTGTGCGGAGTCTGGGGTTTATTCAGCTTCAGGGGTGGCAGAGAAATTCTCTCATTTTCCTAACAAATGAACAACATGTTCACTTAAAACGGCTGCCATATCTTATCTTTTAAAGCAGAAGTTATTTTAGAAACATTTTGAAATGGCAGATGTTACGGAGAGAGATGCAGTGAAGAATGTTATATGGTGGAATTTAATAATAAGTCCCAATTGAGTACACAGAACAGAATTAAAGATGGCCAAAAAATGTAAGTATTTTAGGAAAATCTGACAATAAATGTACAATTTAGTCACTGTAAAACAAGTCAGTAATTAGTATTCTCTACCCACTACCACTGAACATAATTTGAATAAGTCTTAGTTTCAGTGTATGAGACAGTAAGAGCCTTGAATTTAGACTGTGTTACTTTCACAAGTAGTCTTTTAAGGACATACCCTCTTGTATAAACATAATTATTCATGTATGCTATATGTACACAGTATCCTGCTGTCGAGCTGCACTAACCTGGTGTCTTTAATCTTTATATTTTTACAGTTGCATTTAAACCATTTTGGAAACCATCAGTTACCTAGTCAGTTTGGGACAGTGTTACAACCTGCAAACAGTGGAGTGTCTGGTTCTTTAAATGCTATATCCTCCACTGTTCAGTTGCTAACTCTGAGCTATCCAATTAGCTGAATTCAGATAGAGACTATAGCAGTCTTTGGTGTATCCTGTGACTGCCTATTTATTAAGTACAGGAACATTTCAATACTGTTTTCTCATTTAATATAAGGCATACAGAATGTACAATCCCATCACATCTGCCATCTCTCCACCTCATCAACCACTGTACTCAGGACTCTCACATGTGGATTACCCTAACAGTAACATCAATGTGCTGGTGTATTAGAAAGGTGAATTAGATTTAGATGGTTTCTCTGTGATGTGATAGCAAACTGCTCTCCCCCACTGTATTTTCATGTATCAAAAAGTAATTTAAAGAAATGTCTTTCCTTCATTCTCTTTCCTCTCCTTCAGCGGGGGGTTTAGGGATCAGGTTGACTCTAAAAGTGGCTTTTCAGCTTTTCCCTACACCCCATCACAGCGTTTTCAGTTGACATACAGTAAGTGGGGTCGCATTAGCTTGATATCGAACTCTTCGAGCATGAAATAAAAAACGATGCAGGCCACGAAGCGTACGCAGAATACTAGGATTTGTTAATAGCAATGAGGCATAAAGAGAGGCTTTAATATATTATATTTGTACCGATTTGACACTGGGATCCAAGCGGGTGCACAAATGTCTTTAGGTTGTGAAAAAAACAGCTCACGCTCAGTGGGGGGTGGCATTCAGAAGAAAATTCAAATGAAGCAAATATGGGGAGGGAGGGGCGAGCAATCATCATACATCAGACCAGTAGCTTGCAATATGCTCACACCTCAATGACTCGGAAATAAAGAATATTGGACCAAAGCAGAGAGGGGAGACAGAGTCTGTTTATCTCTTCACAGTCGAATCAGTGCATCAGTATGTATCTATCTCTATGTGTCAGAGATCAACAGCCTTAGAAACATCACCTACCCAACTGATCCTGTTATTTACACCCCAATAATTCTGCAGAAGCAAAGAAATGTGTTTCCATCTCCTTTTTTTTCTGACTAGCACTTGCAACAGACTTTAATTGGGTTTAATCAGGCTCAAAGTCAACCAAGTTATTAACTTTCATTTCCTGAGATGTGAAAACAGGTCACACCAAAACTGTTTGGAGGGTTTTAAACGTTCTCTTTTTGCCTTGTAGATAAATGTCATCATTGCCAATGGCAGCAAGGGATTTTTCAAGCTGTCTGCAAAGTGGCTCATCATCTGTCTCTACTGTCCCCCTGGGATCTGCCTGTAGAGACAATTAGTGTTTGGGACCCTCCACTAATTGCTAAGCATCATTACATATGAAGTGCTAAGAGAGTTTGTGTCCGTGTGTTGGAGAGGTCAGATGTGTGTTTGCGGTTGTACATGGGGGGCATCTCTGCTACACTCTCAGCACTTTAGCACATACTTAACTTGTTGTCAGCAGTAAAGCCCTACTGATACAGGACTTTTGAGGCCAATATCCATATCGACAACAATATTTGGGCCAATACTAGTTTTTCAACCATAACATCAAGATATATTATTGATAAGGAGCCATTAAAGCCCCTTAATAGTCCATTCACACAGTGGTTGTCCATATGTTGCCTGATTAGACCTCTTCTCTGGACTGTAGATGTGTACAAACTGCGCCAGTGTCTCATGTTTTCCTGCACCTGTTAGGACAGAAAACCTAACATTGTTACCGTACATTAAAGTTTTGTAGAGTTTGGGGATATGTTATTCCAGGCCTACATTAAAGGAGTTAAAGGCTGACTTTTCTGACTGATAACATACAGTGTATCTCACATCTGTGTGAAAGGATCTATGCTCTGAAATGCCTCGCATACAACCAAATGCACCATAAAACGTCACACATGTGCAACAACAACAAAATGTCACTTTTGCAAGACAGGCCTTTGGGAAAATATATTTTACAGTGCAATGCAAAGGTTCATATCTTTAATAATGCGGAGGTCAGATGAGAATTCCTCATATGTTGAGGGTAAAGGGTTTCACAGAAGAGCAGTACCTCAAACACTTCAGGATGTCGAAGGCTACATGCCAAAACTTCCAAAGCACGGTCACAGCAGTGAACTACTTTCACCTGACTAGAGGTCTAATTCATTATTGAAAAATAATTTCAGAGGGTCCTTCAAATATTAAAGTAAGAGGTAAAAAGAAGACTGATACCACTTTATAGGTGTGTTAAGTATAAGGCTGGAGCCAGGAGACAATGAGCTAAAAGACTTTAGACCGTTTACCTGGATCTGTCTAATTTGAAAAGTAAAAACAATCAGTAATCGACACAGGAAATGTCGTTAAAGAACTTAATTGAAACAGGTGTTTTTCTGAAAAACCTTAATGTGCCAATACATCAGCGTGAGTTACATTTAGCCAATAATATTACCAATGCCAATGAATTTGTAAGGTTTAAGAAAGCAGTGATGTCGAGTACGTTTCCTACCTCATACTCAAACTCCTCCGTCCTCTCTCCATCAGCTGGAACAGGGGAGAGGTAATCCGTCCCTTCATAGTAATCCTTGTCCATTGTATGAAGAGAATGACAGCTGTCGGGGGAGAAAGAGAGGAAGAGACAGACAGGGAGGCAGAGAGAGATGTTGAGCTTCTTTCTAATGCGTTCAATTCCTTTAAGTGACAAGATCTCCTCGCCTTTGTCTTTCAGGAATCTGAAGTATAAAGGATTTGTCAAGGGCTTTCATTGCCGCTGGAGTGCGTGTGTGATAAAAATCCAGCCCCTTGTTAATAACAGCATATCCACATCATTTGCTTCCTATTATTGACGGACCAACCCCCCCACACTGTACAGTGTAATTCTATTATTCCTCCCTCAGTCACTGAACAAAACAGCATTGTGAGGGCTTGGATAAGATGAGCAGCGTCAGTGCCACACAACTCAAAAAAAAGAAGATTTTGAGTGATGTGTTCAGGGGCTGTCTTGACTCTAAGAATACCCAGAACTGTAAAACTGTCTCAAAACAATCTTCTAGTGCCAAAACCAGACTGAAAAATGACAGAATGCTTTATACTTAAGTGCCTCAATATTACACACATAACAACATTTGGCAGTAGGTGCAAAGAATACAATTACACATTTACAATCTAGCCTCAAACATGAGAGTGACAAACATTTGTTACATCTATAACATCTGCTTTATATTGGATTGTGCACCTGATCTCAGATGAAAAAGAAGAAAATGTGAGTTTTATGGGACACATTGATTACATTTGGGCTTGGCCGGGGGCTGCAAGTAGCCCGCAAGCACACGCTGCACTGTGTTGTCTAGTTTTTTTATTAGCCCATTTGCTTTAATCACCTTGTAAACCTTCCATGAGTCAAAATGGATACGCCAAGCAGATACAATTATGGCAAGAAGGCTCCGTGGGGGATTGTAAGGTTATTATTGTGTGAGATATGTACATGTGGTGATGATTTTGATCAGTTCTTGTAAAGTACTTTACACCTAGCACGTAACACTGACAATAACACTTTACTTTTTTATGATGTTTTTAGGAAAGCAATGACTCTCTAATCATGTCTCCACTGACAAATGGCAACATATTTTGGAGTTTATGATTCTGAATTTATGATCTACTATAACAAAAACATGTTTCACAGAGACCACCCTGACTTCCCAGATCTGTGCTGTGAGGCTCCTACGTTGCCATCGTCTCACTCCCAAGAGGCAGGAGCCAGATATTTCTTCATGCTAAACTTTTCTCTTGCTCACAGTTTACTCCTCCTTTGAGATGAACAGAGTATAAACTAAAATGCCACGAGAAGAAATAATGAACCACATTGCTGTGTTGTTTTCCAGCAAAACCTCTTGTTGATACTTTAAACTCCAAAGATGTTTTTTTGTGCATATTTTTATGCCTTCCTCCCACATTACCAATAAAAAAAAACATGTTTTTGAGGTATTGTACTTCCCAGCATCCAGTTGAGATCTGATTAGACTTCTAACTGTCAGACTTCTAGTATGTCCTTTCATTTCTTCTCAAATTAAAGACACTTAAGCCTAACAAACACATTGAATCCTACTGCTGAGTTATTTCTTTGTGTATCGATTCAACAGTCAAACTGAATAAAGTCAACTGAAGCTGTCATACAAGACTACATGGACTTCCTTTTATTTATTCTCAACCTTTTCATACTTGCTGCTTGTTGATAGATTTTAATTAATGTTGTATTCTTTACAAAACCTGGAAATGCCAAGCATACTTCATATATACATTCTGTATTAATGGTTGATTAGGATCACTTAGCCCTGCCCTGTTTTAAATGTAGTGTGTCCCATTTATGAGAAGAAGACGTGAAGGACGTTGAGACTATCATTCATCATATACTGTACAAATCTATATTTGTCATAACTCTGCAGCTGGTTAGACAATTCATTTATATTTTACAGGCGCCTTGCATACTTGTATTGCTAATCCTCCAAACACTGATATTTCTGCTTCATAGCTCAATAACATTTTTCACTACCCCCCCCCCCCCCCCCACCCCCCCCCCCGCCCTCATTAATTACCATCAGACCCAGCCAAAGTCAGAGCAAGGACACAAAAACAAACTCTTGTGGCAATGAACCAAAATCCTCCGTAATTATACCAAATGAAATACAAACAAGAGGATACAAAAGGATATCAAATTATATGAAAATATTAGGGCTGTCAAACGATTAAAATTTTTAATCAGATTAATCACAGCTTAAAAATTAATTAATCATGATTAATCACCATTCGAACTATGTCCAAAATATGCCATTTCTTTATGTATATTGTTGTGGGAATGGAAAGATAAATGAAAGAAGGCGGTTATATCCATTTAACATACAGTATCTATGTTTATTATAACATTTTTCTGCTTGTCAAAATGAAAGACAGCCCACACACCTATCAATCATCAAACCGTGGGGTCTTAATTCATTACGTGTTGATTTCTATCAACGGGGGAGTACTTCAGGAAAGTCGACGGGGGGGGGGGAGAGGGCGCTAGAGTACTTCGTGACCACAGTGTGTGAACGTTGTGATCAGCTGTTTTAGCGCAGTTCTCCAGTGAAGGGGGGGAGTCTCCCTCCGCAGCCGGTTGGCGTAGTTTTGGCACAATTCCGTTGTACAGACCGACGTTAACAGCAGCCCTGACTGTGCACACGGAGACCGACTCTGTCGTCCGGTGATCTCACCGCCTTCTGGAAAAGCTTCACAAGAACGTCGGTACGCAAATGCGCTTTGTGACACAAGTGACGGTACGCATTTCAGATTACGCACATAACCTGCGTACCTTTATGTGCACCCCTGTACTACATCAAAAGTATTCTCCGTCGGGACTTCCTGCAACAACACCACGCCGTTATCTTGATTCTGATTGGCAAGAAGATATTATCAAAGATGTTCTATTGAGAAGACGATCACTACGTGACAAAAGTTTTCAAAACCGTTTTCTGGTCTTCGGTATTTCCAGACAAGTGGCTACTGAAATCAATCTTACTAACTGCTTCTCTGTGCAATTTACTCCGCGCGAGTTGGCAGACTTTATTTGGCTTACTTTAACATCATTTTTCATGGTGGGGCTAAGCCATTTATTGGTATGGGTGTAGCCTACCCCAGCCATACCCTGGCGCTGCCACTGGTGGGATGTATGGGGCGGGCTTTCTGCACATGCGTTAAATGCGTTAAATATTTTTAACACAATTAATTCAAAAGATTAATTACCGCCGTTAACGCGATAATGTTGACAGCATTAGAAAATATATTTAATTATATGAAATCACTGACCTTCAAACTTTAAATTCAGTTTGTAATCCTTGTTTACGTACTTCATGTACTTTGCAAAGATAGAAAGTTAAATGAAAACTAAAAACATTTCCTATTGAGCGCACCTGTCAGAGAGCAGGAAGGGACAGACGTCAGGCACAGGAGGGGTCGAAGGCCGGAGCTTTACCAACGCCATGATGTGTTCGAAAGTGATGTCGGTCTGAGTGCATACATCCACCACATGGATTTCCTGAGGGAGGCCATGGGGGCGGCCGCTGGGGGTCCGCCTGATGACCTGCACCACGACGGGGTCCCTGGCAGCACGGAAGGCCTCCGCCGTCTCCTCATGGCTCGATTTGGACAACTCCTTCCCGTTCACCTGAGGAGGACAGGGACACATTATACATGGGTTATATTTTGTCTGTGATATACAACAGCTCCATACACTTTATTTCTTTATTTGTTGACTGTTGCTACAGAAACAAGTCTTTGAGATGAACCGTAGCTAATTGGTGGAGCTAAATCTCTGTATGCAGAGCCAGAGAGGCAGTGTTTTCTGGGTAAGTGACATCAAACCAGCGAAAAAGAACGGAGACTCAGAATGTTGCGTGACATCGGTTTTTTCTCTCTTTATCTTATTATAATCTTTATACCAACTAATAGAAGCAGATCTGAGAAAGGTGAAACTAATTCAATGAAGCCTTAGATAAACACCCCAATCTTGTATATGTCTGTATAACCGATTTTTAAATCGAGACTAAAAACATATCTCTTTGCCGCTGCTTTTAATTGAGATGATCATATTCGAACTACAGTTTTGATTGATTGATTGAAAAGTTTATTAACAGCTTGTATATTGGGTACAGTACAGTACAGCTCAAAACATACAATTGTTAAGGGGATGCAGACCAGAGAAAGACTTTCGTCTTGTTTACATCAGGGTCCCCCATTTCCAATTCATCATGTCATTTAAGACATATAAGACATATTTGACATAAAGATGGCTTATTTACAATTTACATACAGGTGGTTTTTTACATACAGATTGCTTTATTTACAATTTTCATTTTAGATTTCGTTCTAATACATCCTAACCGGACATTTAAGACATACCAAGTCTACAGATATACAGTTAGTAACTGAGTCTAAATTATATTATGTGTTTTCACTGTATTTATTCATAAAAAGTATTTTAATTTGTTTTGTAAAGCACTTTGAATTGTCGCGTACAGAAAAGTGCTATATAAATAAACTTGCTTTGCCTTTTATTCTCATTCAGTGTGCATACAAAAACACTGAGCTACTACACTGCTGTCTGCTTTCCAATCCCAACAATAGCACAACCCTAGTCTCTGAATATGTAACATACTGTATAAATGCAACATTGTACCTATGGGCAATTTGGCCATATTGCTTTTACAGCTTTAAAGTTGTGGTCAGGGTGAATGCATTCACATATAAATGTATATTTCTTTCATGGATGTGTTCCCGACAGATGATCAAAGAGAAATCTTGATGAACATAACATTTGAAAAGACACACAAAAGCCCAGTTTGATGCAACGTTATCTGGGTGTTGGATCAGAGCCCCAATGGCCTCTGTTCATTCCAGCAGTCCATCTTCAACCTCATCTCCACAAAATGAACTGGATTTTCTGGCAGATTGAAAACGATTTGCGCTACAGCTGGCACATATAAAGAAAATCATTGCTTCATTTAACAGCAGTAATTTTTTCTCTGGAAGAGAAACCATGGATGCAGAATACCTTAGAGAATGTGCTTTGATATAAACGCTGAAACCAGAGATTATAATTTAGACAACCGCTGAGAAAAAGGAAAAAAGATAGACACAGCATAATTACACTTGCTTTTGTATTTAAATGTGGTTTTGGAGTGGAGCTTTTTGCTTACACAGCAAACTGAAATCACTTTAAATGATAACTAGCAAAGTAAAAGAAAGAGTCAGCTCTGGGAAAATACAACAAGGCTGGGGAACCAAAAAAGCAGCAGTGTTTCAAAACTGACATCACAAGCTCTCTTTAAAGAGCAACACAGTGGTAGAAGTAAAAACAAATAGCTTCTTTCAGACTCTCACAAAACGACAAAATTCATGTGCAGACGACAATTTATGTATGTCGTGCCTCTAAAAGAACATTAAGATGCAGGAGCCACCAGGGAACTCCTGCTGAGAGAACTTATATTTTCAACCCAAGATATGCCTGACTTGAGTCGTGCATGTTCAATGACACATTTCACTACAGTTGGCAGTACATCTTTGAGAAATGACTTTTTAGCAGCGATATAGCATCAATATAAAATGATAGCATAAAGCCAGGCTCAAGTCTTTTGTATAGTGCTTATACAAGACATATCTGTTGTTCCCAACTATTAAGGCTTGTAAATTATGCTGCAATACATATATATAGTTTCTAACAAATTATTGAATCATTTGCTGATTGTCATTTTGTTTAATTGATCAATTCGTTAACTGCTGGAAAGTAAAAAATGCACAATTTTGAGGAACTAGATCTGAAACCTAGGTTGAAAATGTGGTAAACTGATCAATAATATTGATGACAACCTCTTTTAATTACTAATTTCAAACACAATGGTCTTCTAAATATCATCATTACCTGCTAACTGAAAACAGAAACAAATCGCGTAATAATGGTGATAATACAATAATGGTGCGTTACTCTGATCCCTAGTGCATTCACATATGTACACGTCATGTGGATGTGAGTTTGTGTGTTTTACTTTGTTTTCCTTTACTTCTCAAAGTGTCCCTTGAGCACGAGTGATGCCCTACAAAACAACAGACAACGTGTTATTTCTCATTCCTAACAGAAGTCATATACTGTGTAAATCCCTCAGCTCTTGTTGTGTTCAGGCCAGCTCTCCTGCCTCCTGACGTGACCTTTGTTTGTAGCATGTTGCATTAATCACCTGAGTGGGAGACAAAGTGGGTCACAACACTCCTGTGGAACTACAGGGCAATTTGGAGGAAAGAGTGCAGTCGCGCAGCCTCCCTCATCCCTCCTTCTCTCACTCCACACCTACTTTCATTCTGTTTTTCAGCCATTCAGCAGGTTTTAAATACTGCAGCATGTACATTACAGTTAAGTACTGTATTAAAGAAACATGCAGCACTATAATAATTAGCTTATTTAGTTCCTTTTATTGTCTCGCTCTCTCTTTTTCCCCTGCTTGTGTCTTGCTCTGCAGGCTAGTCCTGGAACAGGGAGCGTGATGGAAACAAAGGACTTGGAGTAGACAAATGAGGCAGCCTATGGCGTATGACAGCCCCGTAGAAAAATGATCACATTTCCCAGCTCTCCCTCTGGTATAGCCTGTCCAGCCCACGATCCTCCGACAACCCTCTGTACTTGCTAGCCATACTCCAAAACCATAATAAAACAAGATGAAACATGTCAGTAAAAATAAGGGAGTGGTTTTCATTCTCTTCACAAATGTTCATAAGAGCCAGATGGAACAATTAATCCCCAATCAACAGAATAATATTAAGTAGCCTTAACTCCTGCATTAGGGACTTTGTAATCATCGCTGTGTCCCTGGCTGATGTCTGTCCAGCTCCACACTGCCTCAGTGCTGTTAGTTGTTTGGATCTACACTCCTATCCGACAGATGGAGAGTTTCTATGAGCTTGGCTGCAGCTTTCTAGAAACTCTCAGATAACCCTTCAGTACAGTCTTTGAGATGTCTTGCGACAGCTCAGCAAAGTGCATCATCAGCTTGCTTGCCCAAAAATGCAAAGGGTGAATATACACCAGAGTTTTAATGGAAAATATGTTTTCCAACTGGCCTTAATCTTGTCGAATTTAAAGACCATTTCTTCCCGCATTCACCGCCTTACGCTCAGCACAAGCAGTAATCTCTTAAAGTTTCATCATCACATATATTTGGGTTTACTCGCATAAACTATCTACTTCAAGTGTGCATGCAAAGTATGCAAATACATATTCATTCACAAGCACATGCTGGTAAACAAAATCTGTTTGCAACAAATTATTTAGCAGCTGTAGTGTTTATCAAGTGCAGTGCAGCTCTGACAGTGGTTCATGGCCAAAACTACTCCGTATGCACAAAGTCAACATGAATCATCTTATTGTCTAGAATGAAACAAAGCTGATTATTCATGCGAGATTATTTTCTGTTCAAATGAGCCAGGAGAGGATCAGGTAAAGTTGGAAGTTGGAAAGAACTGGGCGTTAGGATGGAGTTGTTGGACCAAGACAGTGAAGACACATCTGCTGGCTGTTTGCACACAAATATGCTGCAGCTGTAGCTAAAAGATAAATGTGTTTTCATTCAAAGCCCAAGAGAGAAGCACCAGGCTTCACACAGGAAATCCAGTGAACCAGAAGGGGAGTGTATGAACAGGATGAAAAACCTTTAAGTTTATTTTATATTTGCAATGGCACAGTCTCATATTGACAAAGACTTTTCAAAAATATGGTGTACCAGACTCAGCGACAGTTTCATTGCACACCTGAACTACTGTAAGAACATTCACCTGTTTACAACTTAAAAATGATGTATCACTTGTATATAGACTCTTATGGCACTACTTCTATTCTATTTTATTGTATTTACTTGCACTATTTTATCTGTTTGTGTTGCACTGTTGGAGGAGACTGGGACCTAAGATTTTCATCGACATAACTACACTCCTATGTACTATGTACGAATGACAATAAAGACCTTGAACTTGTACATTTCAAACCGGAGAGACGTGATGTAAGGAATACATATTTATTGTTTACACGTCATATGAATGAAATGATTGCCATGATAATACAAAAGGAGAATGGAATGGTGTTTGGCGATTAGGCCCCGGTTTGCAGGATAATCATTCAGGAGGGAAAGAACCGCTCCGATGAAATCCCGGGGTCTAGACACTGGTGGTGGTGATGAGTAGGTGAGACCGGTCTGAAGAAGGAAGTTTAGCTTTGTCCTGTAGGAGACGGGAGGCGAGAGGTGTGGAGGCGGGTTGCGTGTAGTCACCTGAAATGACAACTGACAGGGAGGAAGAGCAGGTATTTAAGGAATTTAGCCTGTGCAGCGATTGCCTGCTGAGGGGTGACACCCTCGTATTTAATGAGGGGGGAAGGGAGCAATAGAGTGACGTGTAAGTGACTCATGTTAGGTCTTCCTTATTGAACTTGCGCTAAAGCTTTCATTTAGTTTCTACAACACAGCACTTTGAGCTACTTTGCGCAAACAAACAGAATGAGTTGAAAACTTAAACAAAAGTCACTGTTCTTACAACTACGAGCCTCAAGTCCCCTACAGCGAAAGCACAATCCTGAATGTCCTCTCATCTGTGTCCCATCTTATCATGCGTCCTCCAGGTATGAGC